ATCCTTTGACTCGCGTCTCGTGCAGAAGGGGTGGTCGTCACCCGGCTTCGAGAACCAAAGTGCTTGGAAAGGTGTCCGGCCGACTCTTGGCCCGAGCCATCTAGTTCATGCTGACGGTCCTGGAATACGTCGCATCGAAGAAGTCACTCTGAAGAGCGTCACCTCCAGCCCCAAGGGCGCTACCTTGCTCGACTTTGGACAGAATCTCGTTGGGTGGCTGAAGATTAAAGTCGATGGGCCGAGTGGGACAACGATCAAGCTCACGCACGCAGAGGTCCTCGAAAACGGCGAAATTGGGACGCGTCCTCTTCGAGGCGCTCTCCAGACAGACTACATCACTTTGAACGGCGAGGGCGAGCTGACATGGGAGCCCAAGTTCACATATCATGGATTCCGGTACGTCCAAGTCGAAGGATGGCCTCAGGAAACGTCGCTCGATAGCAACAGCGTCTCAGCCGTGGTAGTTCACACCGACCTAGCAAGAACTGGATACTTCAGGAGCAGCAATGATAAGCTCAATAGGCTGCACGAAAACGCCTTATGGTCTATGAAGGGCAACTTCATGAGCATTCCCACAGATTGCCCACAAAGAGACGAGAGATTAGGGTGGACTGGAGATGTCACTGCATTCGGGCCGACAAGTGTTTTCCTTTACGACACCTCCGGTTTCTGGAAAGGATGGATGAAGGACGTGAACGCTGAGCAGGCTGATGCTGGAGGTAAGAGGGCATAATGGATGGCTTGTTTGATTAATAACTGACTAGCATGCTAAGGAGTTCCTCCCGTCCTCATACCTCATGTCCCTCAGGGGTGGACAGCCAACGGATATCCACCGACCGCCATTTGGGGTGACGTAGCTGTCATCCACCCATACAATATCTTTCAAGCCTTTGGCGATCGAGACCTTCTCCGCGAACACTGGCCAGGCGTCAAACTTTGGCTTGATAACGGTGTTAGGCGTGATTCCACTGGGCTCTGGGATCGTTCAACCTTTCAATTCGGTGACTGGCTCGATCCCCTTGCCCCGCCCTGGGATCCAGCTGCCTCACAAACAAACAAGTTCCTGGTTGCCGACGCCTACCTTGTGCACGGAATTGGTCTAGCTGCACAGATGGCAGAATGGCTCGGGGAGACAGCAGACGCAGACCGATATAATACAGCATACAGTAACCTCAAGACGAAGTTCCAGGCAGCATGGATCAACATAGATGGTACCATGGTGAGCGAAACTCAGACCGGACTTATCCTGCCTCTATACTTCGGCCTAATCCCGGACGCGCAAGTTGCAAACGCCACGCAACGTCTTCGGGCAATTATCGAACAAAATCAGTACAAGGTCGGAACCGGCTTCGCTGCGACACATTACCTTGGCCTCGGTCTCTCTGCGGTTAACGCGACAGATACATTCTATGGCATGATACAGCAAGAGGAAGTTCCCGGTTGGCTGTATCAAGTGAAAATGGGCGGCACAACTACGTAAGATTTTATTTTTGCTACTCTACAAAAACATCATGACTGACCCTGCCATAGATGGGAGAGATGGGACAGTATGCTCCCAGATGGTAAGATTAATCCTGGCGACATGACATCTTTTAATCACTATGCCTACGGCAGTGTTGCCGACTGGATGCATAAGACAATTGGCGGCATCTCGCCAGCAGCTCCGGGATACAAAAGAATCAGCATCGCACCCATTCCTGGAGGTATGCTCACCAACGCTGCCTGCTCCCTGTACACCCAGTATGGCCTGGTCTCAGCCGAATGGTGGCTTGAGTCTGGCAATTTTCGGTTGCAAGTCACTATCCCTCCGAATACTGTCGCAACGATCACGACTCCAGCAGTGGGGAGCAAAGCTGGAAGAACGACAGAGGTGGGAAGTGGAACTTATACATTCTAATAGACAGTTCAAGGACTCGCTTCTTCAGGAGAAAGTTAAAAAGTGTAAGACATTCCGCCAATGTGATCTTAGCGTGTCCGAAGATTCGCATTATAGGAGTCCCGTCGTTTCCAGCATGTCAGAAAGTCAGAGTTAGTTTCAATTGAATTCAGGTCATTACCTGATGAATAACCTATGAAATATCTACAACTATTATCAGATGAAAATGATCTTTCTTCGGTTGATCCGATGTCAGAGATATGGAGCAAGCTTTAGATCGCGTCCATGTCAGACTATTTAGGTTGATAACAGTGTAGCCAGTCGCGTTGAAAGATGCCATCACCCCGCATGGTCATCGTCTTTGAGGTTTCTTCACAGCACTCAGCTACATTCAAAGCCATGTACGGAGACAACATCTCGGCACCGGTACTTGGTAACATCAGCCCCGGTTGTAGTGTTCTTCAAGTCAACGTCCTCAATAGTGATGTCTTCACAGCCGCCCGAGCCTTGGCTGCAGTTCATATCCGCAACGTAAGTAGATGCGCCATCGCCGACCCAGTTGCGGATCGTCATGTCTGAGATCTTGAAAGTACTGCTTTCGCAGTCTCCCTGTTGGCCACTGAAGCTAGTACATTGACCAATGAGAAAAGGTGCCTCTCGTGTCGCAGTGAGGTCAAAGTCATAGAGGGCTAGACAAGCTATTAGTGTATTCCTACATATGTATTTGGAAGGCTCGTGTGGTAATGACATGGTGACTTACTCGCATTCTTGAGGTCTTGGATCAGATCAATTAGCAAGTCTTGTTCAGGTTCAAAATGAAAGCTTGGAAGCTTTCTAGGCTTTCTAGGATTCACTCACATCCAACACCGCCTCCACCTCCATTAGGGGGGTAGGAAACCTGATCTCCAGTCCACGTCTTCACATATGCGCCATACCGAGTCCCCAAGCCCTTGATACGCCTCACAGTCACGTTTTCAACGCGCTCGAACTCGTTCTTATACTGGCCAAGACTGCCAAAGGCTATACCCAGAGAGTGATCCATGGTGGAGTCTTCAATGAGGATGTTGGTAGAGTTGCCTTTAATGGCAATCGCATCGTCGCCATTTCGGATGTACATATTGCGGAACGTGATGCGGTCCGAGTCAATGGTGTCTGCGCCGTCCGTGTTCCTGGCAGGGTACCCGTTGTTGGTAGTGCTGTTGATGTATACGCCATCGAATAGCACGTTCTGCGAGTGCATTATTGCCATGGTCCACATCTGACTCTGGACCATGCGTACGTTTCTCACTGTCATGCCTGACGCTTTCCAGATTGCTAGGGCATGAGGGCGGTCGGGGTAGTTGGACTGGCCTTTGACTAGGTTGTACCTGAACCAAGGGTGTCAGTACGAGTTGGACGGATCTTGTTGAGAATCGAGATACTGACCAGGTCTGTCCGTTACCGTCCAAGGTTCCATATCCAAAGCCGTTAACTGTGATGTTCTTCCCGCCCAGGAACCACGCCGCAGAGCCGTTTTGGAAACCGGTCGGCTGCGGGTTACTGAGCCAGTAGTCGGTGTCTTTGCTCCACTACGTATCAAGCGGAAGTGATCAGTACGTATAGATGGCTCATAACAGGAGTAGTGAGGTTATCTAATCTCACCACCAAGGTCCCATGGATCTCGATCTGGGTATTCTCCAGATCAGTCGTGGTCATCATCTTTTCAATATTGTACGTCGTGTTGGAGAAGACAATCCGGCGATTCTTACGGCATTCCTTGAAGGCTGCAAGGATGGCTGGGGAATCATCGGAGCCGTCATTGTTGGCCTCAACGGTACAAGTGTAAACGGCTCTGTCTTCGAGGACGTTGTTCGGAGAAGCCAAGACTGTAGAGGAAAGGCCATGTAGGGTGAACAAAAGCACGGCCCAACTGAGGTCAAGATTGGGGAGCATCGCGGCAACTGGGAGTCGAAGCTGAATCGATGGGGATTTGAAGACGACTCAAGCAGAGAATAGTGCTATCTGGTCGGTACAACTTATACAACTATCGATAGCCAAAGACATGGTGACGATCATCGAGAAGCATATGCTGTTGCCCGGCATCTGTTCAGGGGCTTCGGCATGATGGTAGTCAACGAGGGTGTCACTCGCTGGCAATTGCGACGGCTTCTGCGAAGCTAGATCAAGAAGTGTGACGATGCCTTCCTTGTGCAGAAGCACTTAGTTGCGAGCCAAGAGCATGAAAGGCAACTTCGTGAACATGAAGATTGATTTACTGTAAGAATACATATCCCGCCACCGATACCGGCCTTTCTCTCAATTGGTGGACTTCATCGCGGCCACCCGCCATCGGGGGATAAAAGCACGAATTCCATGGACGACATCCCCAGATGTGACATCTTCGACCGATGACCTTCCCTTCCTCCGTACTGCTGGTTTCCTGTCAGCCGACCCCGCAAAATACACCTTTCGTCCCAATACAGAAGTACCCCGATTATGGACGGTGAGCGGGTTACGGCCCATTAAGGGATGATAGGTGGGCATTCCCGGAAGATATAGCCAAGACAAATCCCGCCAAGGCACGGGGCTGATTGCATCAGCCCGCCGTCGATACCCCGGATCTCCGAGATATGCACAGCTCGGGTTCCTGCAGGAATTACCGCTGCGACAGACAGGTTGTCGAGATTGCTGCCATGTGCGCTCCCGCCACTTTCTCACGAATCTCTGAACAGTCTCGCGAAAGTCATCGTCTCTTGGCGGCTCATCCAACTCTTCTTAGTCTCGTCGCTAGTTACGTGGCGCAATCATAATGGTTTTCCTCGGACGACGTCATAAATCTTGTCACCCTCATGGCTTGAGCACTTTCAGTCGGCCGTCTCAGCCCACCCCAAACTAATTCCTTGGTAGCTGATTGTTCACAGCGTCATGAGAATTGGATTACTGAATCCAAATAGCGTTTTATTGGGCAGACTATTCGATGGCTAGGTTTGGCTATATCCAAAGATGAAGTAGATACACACTTTATTGACTCTATGCACAGCTCTACAGGATATATAAAGGAAATGTTTTGTCCCATAACCACATCAACGTGATGCAACCATTATTACATATACACACGCACACGACCCTCAGCTAGACAGCCAGCTTAAGAGCAGGTACCGAAGATGGGCTGGCAGCCGGTGCCGCAGTGAGCAGTGGTGGTTCCGCAGAAGCCGTACTCAGAGCAGCAGGTGCTGTCAGGGCAGGTGTAGCCGTTTGAGCCACCGCAGGAGCTGTCGGGGCTGACACCGCCGGTGGCAGCGGTCTGGGTAGCAGCGGGGGCGCTGGAGGTGGCATCACCGCCGGAGGCAACGGGGCCGGCGACACCGCAGACGCCGAAGAGGGGCTGGCAGCCGGTACCGCAGTAGGCCTGGGAGGTGCCGCAGAAGCCGTACTCGGAGCAGCAGGCACCAGCCTCGCAGACGTAGTTGTTGGAGCCACCGCAGGCGCCGTCGGGGCCGATGACGCCGGTGGGGGTAGCGGTGCTGGTGATGGAGACGACGATCTTGGAGGCGGTGGCGGTGGGGGTGGAGGTGCGCTTGGTCTTGTACCAGTTGGCCTCGGCGTCGCCCAGGCACTCGCCGACGGTGACGGCGTTCAGGCCCTTCTCCTTAATGATGCGGAGGAACTCGGGGACAAGGTACTCGGCGGTGTTCTGGTGAACCTAATGCGGATGTTAACTGTCTGTGATGAAGGTCAAATTTTGACTGGACTCGTAGTAAACTTACCTCGTGGGCCAGGGCAATGGAACCACCGGCATCGACACCCTTCTCGAAGATGCCGACGCTGGTAAGGTTGCCGAGGGGAGCGTTGTTGGCGTAGTCGAGGGAGTCGATGTCGGCGTGGATAACGTGGTACTCAAGCGCCTTCAGGATGGAGAGGGTGTTGTCGTTCCAGCTGAAGTAAGGAGGGCGCATGTAAGTGGGGTACTTTCCAATGATGTTGATGAGAGCATCCTCGAGCGTAGTCATCTCAGGGATGATGTCGGCATCGCCCAGTGTGGCGAGGTCGGGGTGGCTGTAGGTGTGCGAGCCAATCTGGTGGCCGTCGGCGACCATACGCTTGACGACATCCTGGAAGTTGTTGATGTTGCCAAAGTTCTCGCCGTTGACGAAGAAAGTGGCCTTGGCGCCAGCCTCAGCGAGGAGGTCGAGGACGTGCTCGGTGTAAGTGAACGGGCCGTCGTCGAAGGTCAGAGCGAAGTCACCCTCAACAGTGCACTTGGTAATGGCAACACCGTAGGGGATGTTGGTGGCCGGGGCGGTAGCGCTGGCGGAGGCGGATCCGGAGGCCGTGCTGGAGGTGGAGGCCGGGATGGTGTCGTTGTTGCCAGCGGGGACGGTGGTGCTGGGAACGGCAATGGGCTCGGTGGGAAGAGCAACACCGGGAACGGTGGTGAAGGAGGGAGCAGCGGTGGGGATGCTGGTGTTCTGGGGGAAGGGAATGTAAGAAGAGCCACCAGGAGGCTTGCCCGGGTACGAGGGGACGTTGCCGGCAGGGGCAGAGGCGGCAGCGGAGGGAGCAGCGGAAGGCCACGAGCCGCCGGATCCAGGCTTGCCTCCTCCGGGGTAAGAGCCGCCGTTGGAGCCCTTGTCAGATCCCTTGTCGGAGCCCTTATCCGAGCCCTTGTCGGAGCCCTTGTCGGAACCAGTGTTGGAACCAGTGTTAGATCCAGTGTTGGAACCAGTGTTGGAACCAGTGTTGGAACCAGTGTTGGAACCGGTGTTAGATCCAGTGTTAGATCCAGTGTTGGAACCGGTGTTAGATCCAGTCGAGGAACCCGTGGAAGAGCCGGTGTTGGACCCGGTGTTGGACCCAGTGTTGGAGCCCGTGTTGGAGCCGGAGCTAGAGGAGCCAGATCCGGAACCAGTGTTGGAACCGGAGCCAGAACCAGAAGAGCCGGAGCCAGAGCCAGAGCCTGAGCCGGAACCAGTGTTGCCTCCGTTTCCGGGGTTTGAGGGGGGAGGATAAGAGCCGCCGGGAGTAGTGGGAACACCGGGGATGGTGGTGTTCACGGGGTAAGGCGGGAAGTGAGCCTTGGTGCTGCTCGGCTGAGGGGCGGGGAGGTCCTCATCGCAGAAGGTCTCGTTCGAGGTCTGGCGGCGGAAGGGGGAGGCGGCCGCTCCGGCCACGAGGAGCGAGGTAGCAACGGTCTTGAAATGCATGATGCGAAAGAATGACTAGTATTATATAAAGAATGACTTTGGTGGTTAGAAACGAGTGACGTTGTCTTACAAGAAGAAGACGGACAGTTGACTAGTAGTGAAGAAGAAGAGGAAGACTAGAAACAATCAAAGGTAGACATGGCGAGCCGCCCATATATCCCATCTGACTTTGCCAAGTCTCGATGGACCCCCCTATACGCCCATGCGGGTTGTCAGCTTTGCAGTACACTAACAACCCCATTCATGTTCATCCCGTTTTAATTGCCAAGATTCACGGCCAAGAACTCCAGTCCCAAGTTCCCAACTCCCCAAACAAGGCCGAGTCATGGTTGGGGTTCCTCGCTTGGGCGTTGCACCGCCCTGCAGGAAAAGCAAAGCAACCTTGTTAGCTTGGCTTGGCGTCTGTAGACTTGCCCAGCTGGCTGGGAAATGGAAACGGGAAGAAAAGGTCGAAAAGGTCCCGTACATGAAGGGCCTGCAAGTCGCGGGAGATAAGATGAAGGGCCACTGAAATAGCTGGCCCATCATCCGTGCAACGGTGTTGGGCATTCTGTACCCCCCGTTGAAGTCCGTCTCACGAGTCACCGTTAGTCTCCTCCTTCACGCTCCCCCCAAGGTGGCGGCCGCTGTTGGCGACGCCTGATGACGACGAGCGGACGCTCAATATGGACGATATAACAAACGGAGGTGCCAAGATACTAAATCCCAAATCAGGGCGGGTCTGGCTTTTAAGAGAAACCAAGGTGATGGCAGGTTGTAGAGGTGTTGTCGCTTTGTCTCCGCCGGTTTGACTTTTCGAATTGTTCTTGGTCAATCTCAAAAGCCTCGATCCAACCAATGAGATCTCGCATGACTCGGCATAAGCCCACTTCGATATCCTTATTAACTAGCTTAATGCTACTTGAATGCGCGCATGGCCCGACAGCTCCGGCACTTCGCCGCTCTTAGCCTTCTTTCAACTTTCAAGGTCACCCTTCAACTGTTCAACAGGCAGGTGGAAAAAAACCCGAAGCTGAACGAAACGGAGAAGTCCATCCTGGTCGAAGCGCGCGCGGAGACGGTCTCCATGGGCCATCTATATAAGATGAAAGCTGTGGCCTCGTTCTGCCTCTCCGAAGGTTTAAACACTGGGCCTTGATTGGGCAAACCCACTCTGGGGTTTGTGATTCAGCACAATATCGAATTGTGGCTACCATCACCAACACCACCCCATTGATATTTGATGAAGTGCGACCTCTGCATCTTTCATGATTTCACAACCGACATTGGGCGGCGCGGTAATTTAAGCAGCCCTGCGGCGTCGCATTTTCCTTTTTCGAACACAATCTTCCGTTGCAGGCATGTTGGATACTGTCCATTGCCTGATGTTGCTGCACGAACAACCAAAGATCTTTTCACGGGCAACGGGGGCCAAGCCCGTAGTGTAAGCCAACGCCGTCAGCCAACACCAGGCACAAGAGAGGGGCCGCCGGACACTCTCAGGGAATCAGAGTCCAGACATCGCCGATGGGTGGTGCGCTTGCAGGGGTCGTCGGTCTGGGCGTCGCTGCGAGCTGTCAGGGGCAGAACAGGGGTTGGCTGCTTGTTTGTTGGAGTAGGCGAGCTGTTCATCGCAGGGCAAGCCAAGGCTCCCAGAAGCTCGCATTCGCAAGGTCCAGAATGTTACCGTTGGAGTTACTGGCCATTATCTCAGCAGCCCTTTCCTTCTTCTGGATGGTGATACTTGGTGCGTTGGCGTGGCTGACAACTCCCCTAGCGTGGCTTCTTGTCTCACAGTCTCAGACACTGAAAGGCTTACTTCAATTTGTTGTTTTCAATGCTGTTAAGTTATCGTCGACTTGCGGCTGATTGTAGCTGAGATCTGTATCTGTATCTCATCATCTGTACTTCACCGTGAAAAGAAACTTTCGCCCAGCCTTCATTGCCTATTTGCCCCTTTATGCTATTCTTGCCTCTCCTCTCGACTCTATTAGCGTCAACTCTTCCTACGTACCGTTAATCTTGGCACTCAGGATGCCACGCCATGAGACAGCGGGGCGCAAACGAGCTTGGCCAATGCACATGCTGAAAGACATGATCTGTGCGCTTTGCCAGCAACTCGCTTCTCATGAAGAAATGGAAGGGTTCCCCTCTCAATTAGCAACCAACTTGAAAGTGCATCAGCGACAGGATCAGTGCTTTGTCAAAAATCTTCAACGCGGCAATCTGTTGATTGCTACAGACATACTGCAGTGCAACAGGCACACAGAGCACTCGCTGTCTCCGGCTTCGATGAAGATTTTCGCTGAAAGCACAAGCAAACTGATCAGTACGGACACCGAAGACGAATATACATAGGAAACCTATTTTCGCACACTATCCAAACCTAACGGAACTGCTCTATTTGAGTTCTTGCTGATTGATCATGTATGCTCCCGTAGGCCACCTGTCGCACTTCTGCGGTCCGCCAAAAGTATATTCTGAAGAGCCCACCTTCTAGAACCACAATAGGAAAGTAGCAAGCAGGGTTATCGTTACTTGTCGATCTCGCAGTTACTTTCGGCCACATGCTTTGCATTTCGCTGTTCCCAAGTTGAAAATAAGCTTGATATCCAAATTAGTATGAACGCAAATCACTCTAACTTTTCCTTAATGCCCGTCACAACCGTCACAAACGGTACAGATAGATGTAACGTCGCTTAAGACTAAATGACTTCCTCGTCGGCTAGTTCGTTTCTGGAGAGGAATTTCGAAAGTCTATAGACTTGTCCACAATGCCGAGGACATAAGTAAGCGCCTCCTGCCCACCAACTACTGCAAATACGTACGGAGCAAAACAGAGAAGAAAATCTTGAAAGTATCATCAACGCCAACGCCATAAATGACCCCCAAGGCAGAAAACAATGGACTCTCTAACAAACATGCCCCTAACGCCGCGCCTTTGGTGAAAATCCATGCCGGTAAGGTCGTCAGAGCTATAGTGCATCAAAGTCCAGACAATACTTCAAGAATTATCCTCATCTGGTACGACTGAACCAAGTAAAATTTTGCGCACATCTGCGTCAAAATTCCGTGTGTCGACGATGTCTCTAGTTGGGAGTCAGTGATCATCACCGATTTGTAAAGAAGCTGAGCATCAACTCACATTCCCGTTTGTTGCTTCAAATCGTCATCCAATGCTTTCAACCGAGTCTCCCCGAGCTTGTCATCAGGATTTTCGTTGTCGTCAAAGAAGCGGATGAACTGGACGCCGATCCAATTCTGCTGTTCGTTTGTCCGTCGAACATGAGTCACCAAGCGTTTGATCGGTCCATCTACACCGCAGAAATTGTCTCGGTTCTTGAGATTCCAGTGTCCGTTCGTCAAGACATATATGCTGACCGGTTTCTTATTCTGGATAGCCTTACTGACCAACTCGTCCAAACTTGGGGCCATGTTGCATTGATCTTCATGGAATAGCATCTTTTCTATATTATCTTTCAATTCCGAGGTCCTTGTTGATTGGAGTGGAGGGTGAGATGAGGTAAAATAGACTTCAAAGGTTGCATTTGGGTCAACCTCTCCCTTTTTGAGTAAGTACGAGAGGACTTGGCAGCTCGCGGCTACTTTCTTTTGATGAGGCTCCATGGATCTCGAGTCATCCACGAGAAACATCTAGAGATATGACTGTCAGTGGACGCAGTGAAACTGATGTAGGTCATGTATTCATCCTTACCTGATCACGGCCCTTCTCCCCTTTCAACTTCTGCAGGGCTGACACCAGCTGTGGGTATGCCTCAAGGGGTCTCCCTTTGAATTCAGACTTCATGCTTGGAGAGCGTCGGAATCGCGAACGTGAGCGATCTTTACCTTCTATGCATAGATTGTAGATGGCTGCCATTGTAATTACACCATCATTGACTTCATGGGGAGAGTTGGGTTCCGTGTTCCATTGAAATTGATTCGGAGGAAAGAGTCCGAGTTGGGATGTGTAGGATGGCAATCTTTCCTGTCGACTTGGGAGACTTTCGTTCCGAAGGACGTCCATCGGAGGGTTGCTGGCGACGTTCAGTGATATTGGTTGTTCCGGTACTCCCATTGCCTCATTTCCCACGTCCATTGGGGTACTTGTCTGAGCTTCGATATTGAGAGCATTTGCGGCATCAACTGGCCCAAACTCCGGTGTTCTGTGCCGATTGAAAGGTCCATGGTAGGTTTCAGATGCCGCATAAGTAGCACCTGGCACAGACAAGCGATTTTCGTGGTTCAAAATGCTGTCAGAACCATGATTCGGTCGCTGGGGCACAGTGTTGAACCTCTGAGGCACTCGCGTGTTATGCCGGTATGCATTTCCCAGGTCAATCTCGTTTCGCATTTCTTCCGGTGACTGTACAATAATTCCAGGACTGGATTCCGATCTTGATCCGATGAAATGAGTTGCCTCTACTGTTCTTGGAGAGTTCTCAACCGGGAGTTGACTCAGTGGGCTGGTTTCCCTCCTCCGAAATGTGGAATATGGCTCTGAGAATCTGGTTGTAAGAGGGTAAAGTTCTTCGTGTGGCTGAACCAGGTCAGGCCCTTCAAAGACTTTGCTCTTCCATTCGTCATGAAGCTCAATGGCCTCGAGCCTTTTTCTTGGGTTCATAGAGAGCATGCGGGTAAGCAGAAATCTGCTCACTGCCAAAAACCAATGAGATTCTTCCCCAGCGAAGCTACTTGCTCTCTGAAGCCATGTTTCAACTGAGTTCAGAAGGCACGGCCCGTCTGGATCTCCGTCATGGAAAGATCCCTCATGAAAGCCTCCTTTTAAGCGGGACATGCGAGTCTCAATAACTCGATCTTTCTGGTAAAGATCACGTCCATACTCTCCCCACCTTGTCCAGACGAGAGCTTCGCTAGCAACGGCTCCGAGAGAGAATACATCGCTCTCCCATCGAATTGCCCTGGAGTCTCCATGATCCCTGTATGCCTCTGGGGCACCTGTAAGATCCAAAGTCAGCTGATCCAGAAGGTGTGATGTCAGTCATTTACATAGCAAGCACTTACTGTACATCCCGTTACCCCAGTTGTCGTCGGCGTTCAGTTCCATTCCCTGGTTTCTTGACCTACGAATATGCCCAGTTCCCATATCCACAAATTTGAATTTTGCAGCGTATACGTTGCCAGACTGATCAGGGCAGACCAGGATATTTTGTGGCCTGATGTCCTGGTGAGTTCTATGATTGTAGATAATTAGCTCAACATGAAACTGGTCAAACGTGATATGTTATGGCAACAGACCCTCTGAGTCCCCAGGACCCTTTGCCTCCTTGAGTTTCCTTGAGGTTGTGAATTGCGTGCAGACCGCCCAATAGATCCATCAAGTTGTTCCAGAAAAGGACACGGTCTGAACGAGCTAAAGGAGGAGGACACGATTCGAAGAAAGACTTCAGATTCCCGCCTCTGGCGTACTCAAGTATTACGGTTCGTAGACCAGGAATTTCGAATGAGCCGAAATATCTAATGACGGACGTAGAATCGTACAGAGTCGGTTGTGCGTCCAGCTGCGTGTACATATTCACTTCATTTTCGTAGGTTTGAACCACCTCTGGGTCTTCTCCATGATAGGTTTTGAAGACCACCTCCTATTAGAACTATATCAGAATCCGAGTCTTTTATTCAGTCTAGCGATTGCGCGGTAGTGTGTATTACCTCCTGGTTAAAGCACAGCGAATGTAGCGTTACTCGAAATACGCAGACTCTGTGGTCGTAGGTGGCCCCTGAGTGTTTGATCTGTTCTTTGGCGATGATAGGGATGATCTGTAGCGGTGGGAGATGTCGTTTGTGAGGTTTGCCTCTCCCTTCGGTATCGAACAGGAAGGGGCAGAATCTCCACTGTTCTTTGTCGAATTCCTCAAAAATACTTTTCTCTGCGGCCTCGGAAAACGCATGAGGTGTCTCTCTCAGTGGTAGTAATCCGTCATGAATAGACTCTCCTGTGAAAAGCGAAATGTGCTGGGGTTGCGACATGTAGACGAGGATGGAGAAGACTTGGATGTAACCCCTCTGAATAGTGGAAGTGCTGTCTTTGATCCAGTCTTCTCGACCAAGGAGAACGCCTTCCACATTCTCCGCCACCCAGAAGCTGTCCAGCGCGCATCGGGGAACAAAATCAACAAGCCCGTCCTCGTACCCTCTCATGCCACGGCAGCTACGCTCGGAGACGTACTGATCTACATATCGCTTAAATTTTGCAATGATGTTGTCTGGCTTCATCTTTCTTCGATTGAGAACTTTAGGGGCTAAGAAGAAACGACAAGTGAGTGCTCTAACAGTGAAAGAACTTCATGCCAAGACTCGGGTTTTGAGGGTTAAAGATGCTCTTGACTCTCAATTTGACTAGGCGCTTGAGGTAGTGACGAAGATTGTCTTGACTTTGAAGCCACAGGATATCAACGCCGTCGATTTCAACTCCAGGCGTTTTTATCCCAGGGGGCTTTCAGAAGGTTTGTGGGGATAACGGCGAGGCCAGGCGAGCAAAGCCAATGCGGCGAATTTCATCGTTTTAACTGCCATACCGTTGGCGAACCAGTAAGGCAATAAACGCCTGATAGGCATCGACTCAGGTCAGACAGACTTGGTGCGCCTGGTCTGCTTTTGGCGCGGATTCCTCCTCATTATTGGCCACATTCGACGTGACAGGCTATGAAAATGAGGGACAACTTGCATAGAGGGGCTGGTTTTATTGATCCTTCCCAGCAGAGACAAGCGTTCCATATGCAGCCTGTGCCAAAAGTTGTGGCAGGCCAAAAATTCAGAATCAATGTTCCTTGCTCGTCGCTGAGCGGAAGAATCGGCATCCTGCAGGTCTCGGCAGCGTTGTCTGACGTGCAGCCTGGCCTCCATCTCTCAGCCCCGAGCGAAATAGCCAATGAGTCCCTCAAGTGCGGCCGATTCTCCCGCCGCTCTAAGCTCGCGCGACTAGGCCTGCAAGGGGTGAGGCAGAGGAGCCGAGGTGAGCATACATACTCCAGATAACTATAGAGGTAAGTGCGGCGAAACTTTTGGTACCCTTTGCACCTTTGTAGCACTCAAGGTGGGAAAGTTTGCAAGGAAAAAAGAAGGCTTCGAAAGTTATAAAAAGAAGAACCTCTCATCTGAGGAAGTCCTGGTCCCTCAGTTTAACATGGTCTTAGCACAGGAATGAAAAGCACTTTTTCGTATCATCATTAGGACTGTGTTGTAATCTTTCGACACATTTTTACAATATAAAGGGATGGTGCCTAGGACGAGAGGCAGGTGAGCAGGTGATGCTGCTGACTTTGCTTGAGGGAAGGAGAGGTGGGCCTCTTCTTGCCCATGTCGGAGTGTGACGTCGAGGAAGCTACGTTCTTGCTGTATGGAGATGCGTCGGAAGTCCCTACCCACACTCCTTTGAAGCAAGCTCCGTCGCTACACGTCTGCTCCATGGTAGACCTACGGGAGCAGTGATGAAAAGCAAGCGGGAACAGTGATGAGAAGACAATCACGGAGCCGTTTCCCCTCGGGGGGAATCGTAAGACTTCTAGGATTTCATATCTGAGTTCTCTTGATCTGGCCCACAAATCCACAGCTCCAGATCATGCGTTTCCAATGGAACGATTTCCCTTGCTCTGTTGACACCCGTCCAGACGCAGTTCGTCGTTGTTGATTCGTATTCCCATTTTATGAGTTCTCTGCGGCCCAGATTTGAAACAATATCAAAAGGAGATGGCGAATGAGAGAGTGGACGGCGTGCTTGCCTACGAAATATCTACTTGAGTAAGCCTCCCCCGAGCATCGTCCCGAATTCCAGAGGATTCTCACTGAGCAGGACCAACTCCTGCCTCGACCTTCCGCAACGTCAATGCATAGATGCTTCCATCGTGCGAGAATTGTTGGTCTAGTTGGTTTGACCAAGAAAACGGAAAATCGTGAAGGCCGGTGTTCGATTATCCTCCGATGCGAACGCTTCTACTTGTTTTGCCCCAGCGGCCAAACGATGCATTCTGGGACCAAGTAGATATACAGAAGTAATGTGACGAGAAACGCGATTCTTCTCGTGCCAAAATGATCCCCAAAGGAGCAAAAGACGAACCCCCGGCAACCTTTCATAGAGTCAAGTGAACGTGTTCCTCAGTCGACCATTTTTAACCCTCTACCTACTGTGAGCGGAAGCCCAGTTAACATCCCCTGTTTTACATCATTGGGACGACTCGTACTGTGTTGAATATTTTCCCAACATTTTCCTTTACATACCATCTTCAGGCCTTTTGGGGGGAAGGACGTACTGCCTACGGAGTGTGTGGTAGGTCCTTCTAAGGAAGGAGCCGGTTCGAGAGGACGGCAGGGGAGGAAGGAGGGGGAGCATGGACGATTCTTTGAGAGGCAGCAACCACCGAGACCCGGCCCAAGGGAAATCTAAGGCAAGAAAGGTCAACATTGAGACATGGAACTCCAGTATTCCGACGGCCGACCTGTCAACAGATCTCAGACCGATAGACGACGGAACGTAAACTATTGGATTATTCTTGGACGACTTTAAACGCAGAAATATGCAGCTGTCTGTTCGATTACACGTGCCATCTGATATTTGGCAGAAATACGAACTGGTTCAAAACGCGAGACCTTAGAAGCTAATGATTTGTCCGGGCCGCCAACCCTTTAAAATTTAGCAAATGGCGTCGACTTAACACGGTTAATGGCACCTGACCATATGCATTCGTCTCTAGCGGCACCAAGTATCCCGAGATCTCAAGTGCTAGCTCTGTACGGGGAAGTGCTCTTTGAGAAACCTCTGTCTGCACTGGCTGCCTACATTCTGCCTCGGCTCTCGAGCTTCATCCCAACCTCCCCCGCTAATGCTGTAATGTCAATTTGCGCTAGAAGCCTGCTACTGGTGACCATGCGTGCTTTGGGGCGTGCTTTGGGGTGAACATGCAAGAGGCAGACAAATCTCCATGTCAGCCATTTATACATTCATTACATCCAGTGGGGACAAGGCAGCGTGAATCTAGCAAGATACGAAACATCAACAAAATAGTTCAGAATTTCCTTCACCGGTAGTCATTTTTGTTACATGATGTCTATAATAAGTGAATTCTTACAATTTCCGCCGTGCACTTTTTCTCAGTCTTACACACATGAATAACCAGCCGCCGATGGTTGCCGCGGTCAGAGGACCACAGAAGCTTAAGAAGAGCATTAAGCTATCACGCTTCCAGATGAATGGTCTTGTCATGTCGTCTGGCCCATCTTCTTTCCAAAGCAACACTCCACTCTGGAAGAAAGTCTACCATTAAGTCAGAGGTTCATATCATGCCGGCGGTATTCGGGTAAGCCGTTCTTACTGCAACGAAAGTGGCCGGCAGAAAGATTAGTGTTGCGATCGTGATGACATGCATCGACGTCGTTTCCTTTAACGTCTTGTCTGTTATGACTTGCATCTGCTTCGTGTTCTCGTGCGCTATTTCCGCGAACCAATTACCGATATGACTGGTACGCTGCTGGAGTAATCGCTCATACTTTGAGGTCCCATGTTAGCTTAAGAACGCTTTCTTTCATTCTGCTTCTGATGGTATGCTCACCAGCTGTATGCTTTGACCAAGGGTGATGGCCAAGCAGCGCATTTGTTGCAGTCGTGTTTCCAATCTCCTCGCGATAGATTGGACTTCTTTGATGAAGTTGCTGATTGCTCCTTCACATGCAATCTTTCCGCGAAACTCGGCGGCGGCGGTGTGACTGTAGAATGTGCAGATGTCATTAAGGACACCAATATCAAGTTCCAGAGCTAGAGAAGCTCGATGAATGATTTCAGAGTGCTTGTGCAAGGTCTGCACGTCTTTGAACCGAAACTGGTTGAGAACCTCCCATGTGTCTGGCTGGGGAGGCGGTGAACTTGTGTCCGTAGTACAAGCAGTGCAATGGCCACCGAGCTCCGGATCCGTCTGTTTTGACTTCTCCTGTCTCAGCCAAGAGCTCAGAGTTGAAGACGTCCTGTTTGCCATCCGGGATAACATCGACATCTTGTTCTTCTCAGGGTCAATAGTGGTGGTCAAAGTGCCCGACATGGATTGACTGTGCGAGTACATAGTTTGGCTACGGGAGTCTCTCAAAGGCTTTGGGTACGCACTTAAGAGGCTGGACTCCCTGTCAATGAGGTCATCGACAATCGCTTTGCTGGCTGGCGTTACAATCGCTCGAATCCCTGCCTCGGTCTCGTTGATGAACTGTCGCCAATTCTCATCGCACCAGCAGAGGTAAACCAAGTGAGTAGCCAACGACGCCTGAAGATAGAGAGAAACATCTCCATCTTGTGTTTCAGTCTTGGCTGGAATTCTGAGGAGAGGACTTGTTTTCTTGATCCGGTCTTCAAAAACATCATCTGCCTTGACGGTGAACCAAAAGGCCCGTCCAGTTTCCACGTCGAAGGAGTGATAGTTTGCAACTTGACGAATCTGCCAGTCCCAGACCCCTTTGCCACTTTCGGAAGATTCGACGGAGCGGAGAAGATAAGACAGTTGTATTTCGCGACCGGAACGGCCGATCTTAGGAAGCTCTGGGAGGCCTTCAGTGAGACAGTTGAGCGTGTCGCTGCCTTTGAACTGAGCCAGACAGAGATCGAGAGGCTCGCTCTGTCGTCCGAAGGCGTGTACTGGCTCCAAGAAGGAGGGGTTGACTTGGTGATATGAGCAAACTAGTTTGAACATATCCATAGAGCAACTCAACGGCGATCTCGAGTTATCTGCGCTAACAAAACTTTCCGTGGTGGTCAGTAGTTTTCAACCAAGGGTTGAAGGGGTATCATAGCTTACACGTGACGAACGTGCGGGTCTTGATCACCGCGGTGCAGGTGTGACCAAAGGGTCTCCATATCCCAAATGGCTTCTTCCTCATCAGGGAATTCTACTGACATCAGATCAGGAGCCTAAAATTAAGAAAGTACATGGTTTCTCACGATTTCGTCTTCCAGTCTCCCAGAACGTTATCACAGATGCCGCGCGGTCAAACAAGGAGCACTCCCTCTCTAGGAGGCTTCTATATTGCCGTTCACCGAAGAGAGCTTCATGAGGTTCTTGTTTCCTGAGCTGTACTTGAGGATATTCGTCGGAATTACGGCAAATCTCCGTGAACCGATCGTACGCGTCTTGTGTCTGCATGTTGAGAATGAAGGTTTCACAAAACAGATACACAGAAACCTGAGGCAGGATCTGGACAAAGCGTCTACAATAGGTGTAAAGATAACGACAGGAGTCGGCACAACCAGGGGGTCTTCCTTAGTATTCTGAGAATGCGTCGCCTGTGGGCCGAGCCTCAGGAAGATGGATGACATTTAAGTTTGAAGAAAAGTACATGCAATAATTCCATTTCGGCCCGGGTGGCGGGGTCGCTCAAGATTGTCAGATTCTCACTGGCTAACGCATTCGGTGTTTGCCTTGCAGAGGTGCACATCTCGAACACTGCCTCTCGCGCATTAGCAGCACTAGATTCATGCAGGATTGTGCCTTAGGTAACGTAGTAGACATCGATTACTGAAAACCCCTCTACTTATGACCTAATGACCCGAATAAATACTCTCCCTTCATGAGGCTTAGAATACCATATCGTGCGTCCGGGCGTGGTTTAGGCAAGAGACACGTCCGGTGCTTGATTGCTGTCTCTAGAGCCTAGCCTGAAACTAGCCTGACCTCGGTTTCTTTTTTTTTCTTGGTATAACCAGATGTTGAACGTCGTCCTTTATGTCGCTTTGGTTAGTTTTGAGTAGCCCAAAGTCGTGATATACTGGGTTACCTGAGTGATTGCTATTGTGGCCGTTATCACATAGTCGCCATCCTTAGACTGTCTAACATTAGCTATATCTCCACTAGAGTCTCCGTCTGCCTCTTCTCTACCACTGTTGCTGATCATCATGTCCTTCATCTCTCCCTCTTTACCCTGCATCAGCATCTCTACCGTCTATACCTATTGTCTCCGTCTTTCTCTTTGTCCCCATCTCTCGGCCTCTATGCATTGTTTCCGTAGGTATTCTCGTATATTACCCTTATTATCTCATATAGAAGGATGAAACATGCTTACCGTGAGGCTAAAGTTGCCCGCGCCTCGCGTATTCTGGAGCCAGGCCTCAAGAGCATCCCTCCGAATTCTGTATCCATTGATGGTCGAGACTATCATTGCGCGACCGATTCATTGATTCCATGCGGGGTCCGATTCAAGAGAAGACCAACAACGGCGAGGCACATTTGAGGAATGACAAGAGCTGAGCCCCATAATTAAGTGTTGAGTCGCCTCGAGGCTCAATGCAGGCTCCCATACTGATCACATCGCCACCGGTCCGGAACGAACCAAATAGGGGAAGGGGGAGTTGGAAGCCTACGCACCGCCTGTTATTAACAGGACACGAAAGCACGTCAACTGCGACTTCATTGGCCGCCTGATATCTCACCGGCTGTGATCGGGCGCATTGCTTCGGCCGTCTTGGGGCTTGTTGGATGTTAGACAAAACCCCGCTTCAGCAGGCTGGCTCAGCTGGTCAGCGTTACCATGCACGGCACTTCTAGCTGCATCAGTTGTCTCACCGGTAGGTTCAGTGATAACCACGGCACCTGTTCTGTTGTCCAATCAAGCAGATTGTTGCAGCACACCTCCGCCATCGCTGACTTGGTCTGGACCGCTCCTATCGTCTGTGTCAGCTTCGTGAAATAGATGCCTTACCGCAAGCGACAGGCGCTCTCACTCGAGCTGATCCACCCGCCAAGATAGCCTGCTCATACAGAGTAGCATAGCGTACCAGGTTCTCTTGAGGAAGTAGAAACGGAATGACTCCCAAGGATCTGATACTCCTACCTTTGGGATAAGGGCAACATGACTGACCCTTGAGGAATTCATTATGCTTGGGGAAAGGTGGCAGAAGGGGCCCTCTTATTTAAGTGATTCAGTTGGATCATAGATCGTAGATTTTCTACGAGGCAAATCACTAGTAGAGATGGTAGATCATGAAACGATTTGATATCTTATAGTACCTTGATCCTGACTTATTGTAGGTAGTGAGAGGTTTTATGATAATGATGGGTTACAGTCCATGACTTCTCAGTCTAGCTTACTCTCAATACCACCAGCAAGCAATCATGGGTTCCAAATTTCCTACTACTAAGCTAACTCACAAATGAGGACACGAACAAGATCGAATATACTTACGAACGTCCACCAGCTTGGTTCGGGCGTCACCAAAGGATCGATCATCCATGGATCATCTCTGTCTACCCAATTTTGTGCCGAATCCTGAACCTCTTCGAGAAAGTCCAGAGCCCCCATAGGCTTACTTCTGTCCATATCAAAATCTGAGTAGTAGACTTCATTGGACCTGCGGTCGCCGCAGCCATAAGACTTATGAAATTTAGCACCAGGCTTCGAGCAGATACCATAGTCAATGAGATAGATTTGCGTCGGGTCGTATTGATACCCGTTGTCCACGGCTTCCAAAAAGTAGCCTCTGATATCTTTCTGGTTCATGAGAGACACTACCGATTCTCTACAAGAGCTGAACATCCAGTAGTAATCATATTTGAAGACCATACCGCGGGTTCACGTCAACTCTGCCCGAAAATCGGGACTGGTGGTTTCGAAAGGGAAACGAGGAGGCCTTGGTATGGCCGCCTCCTTATCTTTCCAAAGCTGATAGCAGAGGAGTCTACAGTTGAAGGTCACGGCAGATGCCCATTCATCTGTTTTCTGTTGCCAAATTTGACCGGTCGTTGATGGGGCTGTTTCGTCGGCGGAGCTGCTGTCCACATCTGGTCCACATCTGGCGTCCCTTGTAATTTTTGACTGTCAGAGGTCTTGAACATCTTGTTCCCGGACCTTTTGCGTACGCAGTCTTTGATGGCCTTCTTCAATGCCGTCTGAGACTCTTTACACGCCAGCCAAATATTAGCATCAACTACCTTGCTTCCGGTATATCAATTCTTGATAAACATAAGGTGTGCACAAAACAGTCTAACGATTATAGAGGTTGAAAGATTATCAGGCTTATCGATGCTGCTGGGGAACAACATGTTATTGAATCATGATATGTGACAGTGAAAACTTCGATTTTGTTAGGGGTCTGCTCCACCACGTGCCATTACAGGCGTTCGATTGACATCGGACGGTGGGCAGATAATGCAGGTTCACATGTAAAGCACCCGACCGACAAGTCGGTCAGGCCGTAGGTATTTGCTGTCGCGAATCCGAGCAGCCATGAGAGCGGCTTCCCGTAGCGTTGAATCAACTTCCTGTCAATCTGACAGCAACTTCAATCAAGTATAGATTAGAGTGTTTTGATGCCACTTATAGCCCCCTTCGCGCTTAGATGTGAGCCGAGATCAAAGACCTCCTGTCCGACATCAGTATCCATGATTTGTTTCCAGTACATGATCTTGCCCAGGTGGCAGAAGCCAGCAGATGAGATCTGTCCAAAGACGCGTCGGATTCGCAAGAAAGAAAAGCACCATCCGAAGTTTCTAGTCGAGGGCGACAAAAGATCCATGGTCTTGGACGGTCCGGGCTCAGTCTGGCCATGGCGTGATCGTCTCAACTCGTCCCGGCGGCAATCTCTGATCCTCCCCTCGGAAAGCAATGACTGATAGCTGTTCGGGCCGTCTACGCAAATCTTCTGACAGTTGTATGTTCGAGAATCACGTGCAATGTTTGAGAGGAGTGCTGCATAGTAGCGCGTTGTCCGTGGATCTGCCGCAGATTCTGAAACAAAACCTTTTCAAAGGTCCACCTGTCATGGTTTGAACCTTTTCCATTCCAGCCCTTTGATCAGACAAGTTGAGATTTCCATGACACAGGATTGCTCCTCTGTGAACTTTCAACTTTGACTCGAGTTCTCTCAGAAAGTTTGCTTTCCGTCGGCAGAGGGGAGGCATTTACTGCCCACCCCGTAAAGTTGGCTGGTAGACGTGTCTAAGCCGAACTGTTGGGGCGGTGTTTCTGAGTTCAACTGAGCTGGTTTTGTTTGATGTGATGGGGTTTCGGGACACGGCACACCCCTGCCATGGTTACGGGTCCCTAGATTTGGAAGTACGGGCATTGTAGCCTTGCAGCGCACACACACGGACTCGGATTCACCCTGCTTACGTTGCCTTATTGAGTCTGGATTGAAGGTTGATCTGTCTAAAGTTCGAGCATCGGCTTCCCAAAGTTGTCGATACCGCCCCCTCACGATATCAGTCCAGTCGTCTAGTGACGTGAAAACCTTAAATAGGCTCAAGAGGTCATGGCCATCGCAGCAGCGCGTCAGTTTAAAGTTAGCAGAGTACTCTGACTCGGCATTGGCAGGACCGTGAAGTTATGACTTGTCCAACGAGCAGGTACCGCGTCAAGGCCTCATGAGAGTCCTCATGGCCGAATCCGTATTCTGATTGCACATTTTGGTCAAATGTGTTCGATGATGGCAAATCAATTATATTGGTATGTCGAGATCTAACAGTTTGAATGAGGGGCTCATGGGTTGATAGGCCTCACTCCATAATTGTATCCCAAGTGAAAGAACAATGCTTGGACCGTCTCGCATCGCGGGGTTCCGTTTTAGTTTTTTGAACGCCTGTGTATCACACCCGTTCCTGACCGTTGGATATGCTCCCTCCTCCTGGACTGCGCTGATTGCTCGCTTCTTGCTCACTTCTTTCTAACTCCTCTCATCTTTGGTCGTTAATATGTTATGCGTTAATCATTCATGTAGTTGCCTCAGTTTTTCACTCTCGAGTCCCGGGCCGGCCGGCTGGCCCGCTCGACTCGGCGATCGCCGTGGGTGGGCCGGGGGGTGGATGAACCCCATCGCTCGGCCTCGGAAAGTAGACCATCTTTGATGGAAGCGCCTCTTTTTGATGCCTGTGACGGTAAAATGTGAGATCTTGGGAAGCTGATTGTAGTCGAAGGGCTTTCACATACTGCGCAGAGATGACATCTATCGCCAAAGCGGGAGACTGTATTGTGGCAGTGGATGGAGCCCTGCAGAGTGTCACGTGAGTCAATTGAGCGCACCATATCACGACCTTTGAGAAGACATACGTAGTAGTTGGAGCAGTAGTAACCCATTGTGAAGACTGTGTTGACGTATGGAGACCGGAAAAGGGAAGATGCTCAGAAGACGTTGAAGTGGTTGATATGGGCGAATAGTAGAGTGGATCGCGAAACGTCGAAGGGATGGACCAGCCTGGGTACGATGGGAGATATGAGCAGATCTTTCTGATGTTCGTGGGACGTCAAAGAATGCCAAGTCGTTTGAGCACTTGAATTGAAATGGAGGAGAAGGACTTGGGAGAAACTTATACATGCTCCAAACGCCACCAACGCCCAGACGCCGGCAATGGAGAAGGTCCATTAATAACACACGCTCTTGGCTAGTCCGGCAAGTTCCTTTGCGGCAGCAGAGTAGCAGACCACTGCCACTTGCCTTGCTTTGCGTAGTCCGCCTCAACGAAACGAAACAAGCCTCGAAGACCGTGACACCTATCCAGGGCTGCCCCCTTCAGGAGCTCCTAGTCGGCTTGTGGCCCGACAGGCAAGCAGAACTAAGCCTAAAAATCATCCGACGAAATAGCTTTCAGTGTGTCATACAGGGGGGATGGAGGGGATGGCCGGGCCAACTTTCGTGAAAGAGCTATAAGCACTGCCTTGGACACCATGTGTAGTGTAGCAAAAGGGCGAAAAGAGGGTACAGTGTTGAAGGCCTGCGGGCCAAGTGCTACGCTGTGTTGGGCATTGGGCCAAAGTTTCCGCTTGGTCAGTGCTCCTCCGGCACGGTTCCCAGCTTTCCGGGAACCCAGAGTGCCCCTTGGTCCCCTTGGCCTCTTTGTCAGTTGTTGCTGCGTGTTCCTACTTGCCAGTTCTTAGCTGGTGCTGCTGGGGCCCATCCAGTCTGAGGGAGATAGCGCTTGTTTGTGTTTGTGGCAGACCGTGGGGCTTGTCTCTGGACAACGGGTGACGACCCGACTCACGACGTCTAGCGTTGGCGGCTCAAAATGACGAGAAACAAGTAGGCAGGACAGTACCAAGACATAAGACGTGCCACCGCTAGGGAAGTTTGCGGGGAACATCGCTGGGCATGGCTGGTGGTAGTTGGGGGCGAAGGGCGTTCGCTAGGCGTGCTTAGTTTCAGATGAGACCGAAGTGCAGAGTATGGTACACAAAGTAAGGACGGAGTGGCTCAGAAGGGTACGTGTACGGTCTCTTGGAGAGCGGGTCCGCTCGCATGTGCGGCATGGCACCAAGATCAAGCGTATGTACGGATATGCTATTTGTGGTGATGACAGTTGGTGTTCCGGGGGAAACAACGGTAGGTTGAGCCTTGCTTGAGGTTGATGGAGAACAGGGGACCCTCTCCCCGGCGACGAGTTATGCGGATGGAGCTGGTCGAGACCGTTCGGAAGGGTTCCACGTCAGCAATTCAATGATGTTGAGTCGAGATAGGGCTATAAGCTCCATGAAGGATTGTCAAAACTGTGGTTTGATGATCTCATTCATAATACGGGTCATGTCATGGAGGCATAGGTACATGGAACTCAAGAGACTTTGGGGGCCCCAGGAGACTAGATCGGGACCAGATACCATGCGGCGGGTACCTTACTTCACCCTTCCTAGGAAGCCGATAGACCGATGCGGGCCGCTACGGCGCCTCGAGGCGCCGGCTAATGTCTTGGAGTTCAGGTGAGGCAGGGTTGATCAATGTACAATGAGTTTGGGTGTCTTTGATGACAACGAGGGTCTCTGACTATGCTTATAAAGTTGACGAGAGAGATGTGAAAGTGTATTGAACTTGATTGTTCAGTGTGATGAGTGAGTGGGTGAACGAGAGATCCATATCCGTGAGTGGAGGAAAGATGAGTAAGCGGACCGACGATGAGATGGGCTACGAAAGGTTACGTAATAACTCCGGTCCGACCAGATGACATAACGCGACGCGGCACGTGCGGACAGGCCAAGGCAGGTGGGGCCTCTGGATCCGAGCTCAAACTCTCTTGGGAGCTCCTGGAAACTTTCAGCGCAAAGCTCAAGTTCCCTCTCCTGGTGATTTTCGCATCATCTTAATCCAGAGTCAGACCACTCCATGCTGCACATTCGCAACGAACAATTGAAGCAACTGTCGAGAGCCCACGATACCTCCATCGGCCGAGTGAACAGCTTCATCGGAAGTCAATCAGTCCGAGTCCCATAAACCAAAATACTCCGATTGGGCGTCTAATTACATCGCATCGTCATCTCTTCTTGTTAGACGTCACTCAACATGGCCGTATTCGACAGCAAAAAGTTCCAATCCTCGGCGGCGACTAACACCTTCGCCGCCAAGTACCGAGCGCAAATGGCTAAGAGGCCATTCCTCCTATTCGGTCTGCCTTTCGTGGCCGTTATGGTTGCCGGTTCATTCGTCTTGACGCCAGCTACAGCGATCCGCTACGAAAAGTACGATAGAAGGGTGCGACAGGTTACCAGGGATGAGGAGCTGAACATGCGTCGGTCAGCACGCAAGGTGGACATGAAGGAGGAATACTACGTAAGTCATAGTGTTGAAGCAGCTTGGCGAGAAGTTGGACATGTATGGAGCAGGACTAACTGAGGACAATAGCGACTTGCGGCCAAGGACATCGACAACTGGGAGCAGAAGCGTGTCAAGCGATTCGCCGGCGAACATGATGGCATCATTGGCGAGTAGAGAAGCCATCACGATACGCCTTGCATCTCGATCGACTTGAAGGCTACGATGCGTTGGCACAACTTCGAAATGCCAGGCTTGTCAACATGCGTGCATCGAGATGGGATGAATAAACGCGTCGATGAAAAAAAATCCCTTTAAGCAAGGAACATTGTTTATCAATCACGGCCACGATCGTTGCGGTCAACTCCCTCGCTCAGAGTCTCGGCCCAAGCAAGAACGCGACCGCGGCAAGGCGCTTGTTGTGGCAGAATTGTTGACGAAAGAATGTGCACATCTTCATCTCGGCAGCGTCTGACCTTGATCAATGCGCACAAAAACAATCAGCCACTTCGTGCCCAATCCCCCAAGCCACCAAGGGTTCAAGGCCAGCTAAGCGTTGCCTTCAACGTCACTTCCGAACCCCGTTGTCAATCATTATCTGGCAGGTCTCATGCGGCCGCCGTGGCTGCCGTGGAACGGGACGGGAGGCATGCATAAGAAGATCCCTATTAGGGGGAGGCGTCGGACCGTCGTTATTGGGACAACCAAGATGCACAACATTAGGGCGGCTCCCTTGGGCGCTTGCACGCGGGATGACGCACCCACGGGTCGATCTGGGGTGGCCGCAGTGAGCGCGGCCACTCCCTGTTGAATGTACGAACATGAAACAACTGTCTTGATCCATCAGAGACACGATTGAGAAGCTGGGAGCTTGGAAAAAGTTGGTGTTATTGTTAAGCTTGGTGCTGGTGAAGCAAGCCCCTATGCACCGGGAAGAGTGATGGAGCGCATGCTGTCTCCCTTGGTCGCCTCACAACGCGCTACACGCGAAGGCGCATTCCAGGTACAGGCTGACGCTCAAGTTCAACATCATGCATGTAAAGCAAGTCTCAATCGATATCGACTAGTAGCGTGGGAATACCAAAATTTGGGTCATAAAACGTTCTTCGGCATATAAGCTGAGTGCTCACATATTCAATGCGCAAGACAGCGGTGCCTGCCCTGCATCCTCTGGCCATCGGAAGCCACTGCTTGGATCTGACGACGTCAATAGATAGATGAGGTCCCATCACGATCGAGGTGCTGTCGTTCTGAACGAACTACTGGTGAAATGCAACGGTTTCCTTGTCGCACGCATCAACTTCAGCCTCTGCTGAACGAAGCTGTCAAGCAAGCCACCGGCCCTAGTACGGGAAGGGGTGGCTGTTCCGTTTCAAAACGTCTTCGTGTTCTCATCGGGCGATCAAGTCGCACCATGAATCCAAGAGCGAGATGAGGAAGGAAAAAAAAAAATGCCCGGATAGAAACATTCGCATAGGTCACTCAAGGGCCAGTGGCGGAGATGTCACAGAAAGATTCAGGAGGCCCAGCGTCTCAAGACGGGAGTTGGTACCGCGGTCGAGGAAAACCAAAAAGAAGAAGCCTTGTCGATCGGGATCGACGGGGCATTGCCATGCCGTCACTTCGTTCCCACCACGCCCCCATAGTATGAGCCCGGCAGGATGGTCCTGATGGGGGTCCGCGGGCCACTTTGTCGACTTTTCTGATGGGAACGTGAGCACGACATTTTGGACTCGATGAATTCCAAAGGGCTGAACGACTGCGCGAGGTGTGCAGGGGCGGCGGGTGCGCGGAGAGCGTTTGTGGGAACGAGCTAGTTTTCGGCCTGGCAGCTTCTCGTACGGGCGCCCGCGGAACGAATATCTGTGTTTTTTTGGTAATAATAGTAAAAAAGTAACCCTGTCTGTCATCATGTAGCTTCTGATAGAGTCATCAGTTAGTCTGGTCGAGTCACCGAATAGCCTGACTGTATTCCTGGGATCGAAAGCCCCCCGTTGATACGGGATGCCGTTGGCTGAAGCGAATGGAAGTTCTTTGTGGCGCAGAAACGCCTTTCGGGGAGACCAACACGCCGATAACGCTTACGATTCGTTTGCGTGGATTGCTGACGCAAGGCTGTACTCTGGACCGTATCATGGTAGCGTGGTGTGTGCCGCGCAGCCTTGGGAGAGAAAGCCGAACTATCTCCTATTCCTGGGCATCATCACGAGACGATGCGTGGAGGGAGTGAACCGTGGGCAGGTGAGTCGGTCTCCGCTGGAGAAGTCTCAACTCGAAACTACGGATAGAGTACGTCAAAGACTTTTTCGGTCCGGCGCTTTTTTAGAGATGATTTCGCGTCTTGTTCTTCCCTTGCAACGCCCTTCCGATTCACCGGGAATATACACAATCCGAGTCTGAGCATCACCAAGTGGAACTTCTTGGCAAAGGCCATCAGAAAGTCTCCCAACAGCCGGAGCGGCGGGGGGGAGGAGGAAATGGCGAGATATGGAAAGGGAGGTTGAAAGATAATCTCATGATTGGGGGAGGAAGAATGCTGAGCTGAAGAAAGAGGGTGTGCGCGATGAGACGGTCTGGTGGACTTGGCTCAGGCGGTAAACCTCCAATAGATGATTGCGAATTGCTTCTTGGGCTTTCTTGGAGACTTGGACACCACCACCACCACCATTAGACCGGTTCTTTCAGAGGACAGCAAAATTACGAGATCGTGATGTGAATGAAGGGCGAGGCCGCTCCCTGAATCTCTCGAGGGGGAGCTGTTCTCGCTCTCACCGACGCGACTGTGAGATCGAGATGGAAGTTGGTGCTGTGACCTCCTCGGGATGCCTCCGGACCTAGTAGTCCCCCCAACCTATCGAAATCTATTGAACAGGTTCTTGGGAGGTTCATCACGATGGGAGGATGAGGGGAAAGACATCAGCTGAGCAAGCTGCGAACTTGCTAGGATGATGGATCCCCCCCCCCGTTGGTGGGTTGTGGACTTTGCGGTTCGGAGCTAACCAAGATTCTTGCCAGGGATGGTAATGAGGAAGTGCACCCTTTTTTCCTGGGGGAAGAAGCTGCTTGATCAGCTGGAAGTGAGGGGTCAAGACCGGATGGCGTCGGATGCTGTAGGTAGTGTAGCCCGGTGGGCGTGGGGGAAACCCTACCGAAGGCCGAACGGTGTTTGGAAACAAGAGAGTCCCGACGGGACCGGATTGCCAACAATAGCAGGTCGGGATGAAGGAGCAGGGCAGGTGAAACTGGTGAGCTGTCAGTCGGCATGTGAGACTCATTGCGGGTGAAGACCATTGCATGCGGGATACGCGATGACAGTTGGCAGCGACGGTTGCAAGAAACGCAAAGAAATAGAGTGCTTGATGAACCTATCCTGCTGGCCATCTCGGTTCACCCACAACATGCGAACGGCGGCTGCTACCGATTCGTCGTCTTGGAAAAAGACCGCATTTCGCATTTCTGATATCTGACCGCTTCTTTCATCACGCAAAAGAGAAGGAGGGGAAATCTCGTCTGTTCCAATGCTAGTGTGACAAGTTTATCAACGGATCTCTGCACCGTTTGCCTTTAGCTGCAGGAACACGATGAAGATGGCCGACCGTTCGCGGCTTAGTCTCCCAAGCTCCATCTCAGGTACCATCACATCAGACCAGAAGACTTGCATTCGCTTCCGCAGTACAGCGGATGTACTACCAAGAGGAGTGTGTGTGGTGTATGTGTGTGTGTCCATTTTGCCATCCGCCGCGCGCCAATCCTAAAGAGGCTCAGACGGATGCCCATCGCACTTAGAAAAACATCTCGAGGTTCGTCAGCCACTCAGCAGCTGCGGCAGTGGCTTGTCGTTCTTTCCCCTCCTCTCCTCAAGTTCCCAGTGCCTCCCTCCCTTTTCCCACTTCCGTTCACGCTAGGCGGCAGCGTTTTGCAGCGTTTTGCACTCTTTGGGCATGGCTTAGGTGGGATCGTCGACGTTTGGGGGGGGGGTTTGGTCAGGATCAGATCAGGCGTGTCCTGCTGAACGGTCACGGTATCGGGTTCGTCAGCAGCGTCTATCTTTCCGAGGCAAGGGAGAAAGATGTGGAAGGTGGGTTAAATGGGTGTTGAAAGGACGGATGACGGTGGTGCCCCTGTCTCGGTCCGACATCGCGTTTCTCTGAATCTCTTCTGAAGGGGGAAGGAAGATCACGGCCGTTGTTGAGCATCCGTAACCGCATGGCATAGCATTGGCGATGGGGTAAAGATAGGCAAAAAGGGTCCCCCGATGCACGATGCGGGATGGAAGCGAGGGCATCACGCAGAAAAGACTCCGCAGAACAAGTTGCAAAAAAAACATTCCAGGATCAAGCAACTCAAGCACAAATGCGTAACTGGGATTCGAAGCGGTGGGCAAAAAATCAAGGAGTGTTCCAAGGCGATCAGTGGTCATCGCAGGAGCGCCTGCGCTGCTGATCAGCCACACCAGCAACGACCAGGAACCACTTGATCGGTGATCTTCACCGGCCGATTGGCTGTCAATTCGTCTTTTTCGGAATCAGCTTCTCGTTGGCTGACGGGCCCTCTTTCAGGCTTCATCCCACGTCCTTGTCGTGCTTGTATGACTGTTTGAGAATGGGGTTATATTTGCAGAGGAGCTGGGGAAGCAACGCCACACATGCACATACACACCCCCACCTCCTCCCCTCCCGTCGGTGTACAAGTAGGTGTGCGTCCAGGGCCGCCTCCGAGATATCAGAGTTGGATGGCGACGTGTCATTGGCTACGTGGCTGCGTGCCTCGCCGGCAGGGACGGGTCCCAAAATCGGGTGTTCACGACATTGCTGTTGTGGTCGTACGTGTAAAGCGCAAGACATCACCATCCGGGGGGGACCGGCTCAGCGAAACGAGAAGAAAGCAGTTGCTGTGCATCCATCCGGAGAATATACTTGCAAAGTACGTACGCAAGCGGGATCACGAAAAAAAAAAAAAAAAGAAAAAGAAGTGCCCCAGCTCTTTACCTTACCGTCAGACGGGTGCCCCTTGGCCCCGTTCAAAGTTTACAGGTTCACTGGGAGAGACATTATCGCGATCAGCATCGAAGATTGCAATTGCAAGAGACATGAAACACACGGCCTCGCGCCTGTGGAACGTATCTGAAGCCGTAGCGTATCCTTTGGGATCACCTTCTGGCTTCCATTCGATTAGAAAGCCCTGACAAGCCATAGAAGACACGCAAGAGGCAGATCAAGCGGTAGAAGGAGCGTGGAAAAAGATCAGACGGCGTTGACATTGATGAAATTCGTCATGCTTCCCTTACTACGTAGGTAGCGTTCAGACGGAAGAGATGAACGGATGACGTATCGTAACGTCGCCGTCAGCGCCCGTTTGGGAGCGTGCCCTCCGCTGATCTGCCTGAGATCCACGGCCACCTGCTGTAAAAGGTGCCCTTTCGTTGAGTTAGTAATGCTCATCAGAGCGTGGGACGTGCCCGCCCTTCCGGATACTTTGGTACGTGTCTTCATTCATCGTGGCGTCGAGACTGAACTTGGGGAGCTAGAAAGAAGCGAGCAGTTATACCTATCTACGTACTTTCCGGGTTCCTTTCAGGCTTCCAGGGCCGAGAGAAGTCAAGAACAGAGTTTCTTGACCGGGTGAACCTGGAAAAGCAGCTAGGTACCCAAGGGCTCACAGGAGTCACAGGCTGACCAACACCGCCTTGCTGGCCCCCCCTGTCCCCTGTTCATCTTCCTCAACCAGCTGTCAGCCTGGTTAATTCTCTTCTTCCTTCTCTTTTGTTTCCGTCCCCGTCCCCGGAACTCTCTTTTTGGCCGTGCCCTAAATTTGGTGATTTGCTCCATCGTGTGCTTCGTTTTTCGAGGTGGGCATTCCCAGTGTCTTCCAAATCCACGAAGAAACCACCAAACAACCACAAAAACATTCACCCCGTTTTAGGAACGCTAGTGTCGCCTCGTCTCTCGTCCAGCACAATTCGGACCTAAGATACACACATTCGGCATTCTTTCCTTCGTTGCTGTTCCTCCCGGAGACGAAGAAGGGCCACGCACGACCATCCGCAGCATGACTTCAGACGGCACATCTGACCGCCGACGAGTTGGAATTGGAATGACGACTTCCTTTCTTGTTCTGTCCACTTTCGCTTTGTCTTGGGTGTAGCTAATGTACTGCCTTTTGCGATACGACAATTCGGTAAAGGTCTGAGCAACAAACTAGGGAAGGGAACAGGTAGCGCCGCGCAAGCGCAGCCTTGTCCTTGGGATTCGACTCGCGTCCACGGCGGTGAGCAATAGACATTCACGCCGGCCGGGACGGGCGGCGTCCATTCTCGCGAGATCTCTCGATCTCTTTCTCCCTCTCTCTGGGTAGCATCTCTCTCTCTCTCTCAAACTCTCTCCGTTGTTTCCGTCTCTGCAGCTGGAGTTACCATGTATCCGGTCTCTCTGGGCAGCATCAACAATCTTCACACACGCACCTCGGATACGTATACCACCCTCCATTACCCATCGGCGTGGCATGCGCCTGATCCTCTTAGCCTCTTCCTCTCAAGTTGAACCCCTCCCACTCACTGAATGCTCCCGTCATCCATCCATCCCAAAATTCTGTACTTAAATTAAAATACTTTTTTAAGCTTATTATAAAAAAAAAATAATTATATTATTAACTACTTATTATCGAGGTCTATAAGTAGTATTATAACTTTAACCGTAATAGTTTTATTTATAATAAAT